TAAGACCTATTCGACGACTTAGTTCAGCAACTCATTTCAAACGAGTAAGTTTCCTTCGATCAATGTTGATCATTTAATAATTTTTTGGTTTTTATCCTAGGTACAAAATCGAAATCATGAGGGTCCAAGTGAACTTTGGCTTGCTTGTTCACCTGGAGATCCAAATGCTCAATCACTTACATTAGATAAAATAAGTTCTGATGAATTATGCGAACCTCCAGTAACCATGGTTAGCTATTAGAAAATCTTATTAATTAAATTAGAAATTGAGATATATAATTTCTTTTTAGCCGGATATGTTAGCTGCTCTTGTTACACAAAAATCAACCGTAGGTGAAAATGAATTGGCAAAATATCAAAAATTTACTCAAGAATTTGGCCAAGAAGGTTCATAAAGAAAATAAGCGAAAAAATTCTACGAATTAGTATTTTTGTGCAAAACATTTCAATGATCATTGACATTCGTTCTTCTCTTACATTCCATCGATCAGAATATTTTTGTTGTTGTTTTATTTTTTATATGAATTCATATGAACTCTAACATATCTCATATTTAAAAAAAAAATCAGTAATTATTTCATTAACATTATGTTTTTTGCATGCGAATTTTCCAGCACGAAGGAAATCTATGACTTCAAGCATTTCGATTGATTTTCTTGTTTTTATTAAAGGAAACATTGTCTACTAGAATTTTTAAATGATTCATCTAGCATTATGGTTCGTGAATATTCACTAGTACTCTGTCTATCGATGCTATTTTCGTATTCACATTCATCCATGAAACACATCTACTCTCATCTAATTCTTAATACAGAAATAATAAACTTCATTTAAATTTACAGGTTGTAAGTTCAATTTAGATGATCTCGTGCTACAATATTTCTGTAAGTGAAAGAAAAACGTTTTCTTATTGAAGAAACTTCATTTGAGCGTGTTAAGACCTATACTGAAGATGTGTCAGAACATACAAAAAAGTCATTTATTAAAGTTATACTAATTGATTTATTTCTTATTGTTATTCTTGTCTTTTGTACTACACAAATAGTCGTGTTCAAGTAGAGGTGACGCTTTCACTTTCCTTTTGCTTTCAGAAAAGAAAGGAAAGTGGAAATCTTTCATATTGATAGAAATTTACAGTATATATGTATTACCGACAACAGGAGAAATAATGCAATCGTTTTAATATGAGCAACTCTAATGAATCTTTGTTTCCTCATTGTTTTTTTCCACAACTTAAAGTCACTTTTCTACTATTGGTGTTCCATACCTGGTTTTTTTCAGAATTTCACTAATCTTTTCCGTCATTGTACAGTGTTTCATTGCATCACGGTTAACTCTAAAAGATTTCTCATTCTTTCTGATAGCAAGAAAAAAAAACTATTAAGCATTGCTTTAGTTCAGCTCTCAAACAAGTTTTTGATGTTTGTCAATAAGAGAGGTGAATTAGAAAGAACATTTTTCTTTTCTTTTGTATCAATTGTTTTCTATTAGTTTCATTGAATATTGACCTAATCAAGTAATTTTTCGAAGGTTTAAACAAAATTTTATGTGATCATGCAGAAGGTGTATAGTGCACAACCAGTCTAACTATCGCGTTTCTTCAATCATCAAGAGACAAATGTATATGGCTAGAAAATTGTGACACATGCACGGGTTTGTAATGTCGTTTTTAAAATAGAGTATGTGCGAAGCAGTTGAGTAGTTCAGGAACGCGAACAGCAAGCAGTCTGTGACTTTCACCACTTGAAGACAGGTACTTGGCGACACTCTATGCCAAATTCAAAAATTTGATAGGTAATCATAAGGAATTTTTGTTAGGATGTTCGGAAAACCGCCTTCACAATCAAGAAGCTTTATTATATCTTTAGTCCAACTCTTTCAATTTGAGAATCGTAAGTCAAAAAGTTCACAGTTGAGTGATCTCGAATTTCTAGTGAAAGCTTCTAAGATGTGTCCTTAAAGCTGTCACTCATGAGAGAAGAATTAACTGTCACACTTAAAGATTAATAGATGTTCTTAGAACATATAAAAAATAAACAGTAATAGATATATATTCAATCTAGACTACGTCTAATATGAAATGATTTTTTACATTCTTCTTCACGAAGTGGTTTGACCGCAGTTTAGTGTAAAATGAAAATGTCGAAAATAAAAATGTTCAAGAAGATATACCGAAGGTGATCAATATCACAATGGTCACACACAGCAATTCAAAAAATATCAAAGTGGAAAAATTCAAAAAGCTCTTTAGAAAATTTTGAACAGCAAAATACACTTTATTTGCGATGTAATGACAGCAGTGATTAATAGAAATATGAAGAAAGGACTTATAAAAATGTGGATGAAAGGTGAAGGCATGGGTGTTGATACGCTTTCCTTCTCACACCTAACCCGATTACTGATGATAATCAGCACTCCTTATCTTCCTCTCTTATGATCCACAAGACTATTTTTACATAGTTCGATAACACTTTCCAAACGATTCAAAATAGTATAAAAACATCGAGGAAAAACACTGGCTATACAAAGAAATTTCAAGGAGACAACTGTCGAGACATGATTTTATGACTTTTTTGTCTAGTATTTAGTTAATATCGATTAGAAAAGTACGATTTGGATAAAAATTAATATGATATTCTGAAACAGCATCAAAAACTGAGTGGACTTACGTGTATTTCAAAAAATTTTGCATCATTTTTCTTCATTAAAAAATTCACCTCAGGTCCTTCAAGATTAGAGGGAAAAATGAATTTCATGGAAACTCTATTTTTATTATTTATTCATGTGCTGTTTGAAGTTCTACTATTATTTTATAACCTTAGAACTTGATTTTCATTGTCAAAATAACTTTTCCATGAAATTCATTTTTTAACTCAATCCTAGGGGAATCAGGAGTGAACTTTCGACATAAAAAAGAATATGGAAATCTTTGAAATACACGTATGTCCCTCAGTTTTGGATGTTGATTCAGAATATCATATTAGTTTTTATCCAAATCGTATTTTTCTAATCGAAATCGGCTAAGTACGAGTAACAAAAGTTATAAAATCATGTCTAGATAGTTATCTCCTTCGGGTTTTTCCTTTATGTGATCAGTGTTCTTTTTGTCGATATTTTTATGCCAGTCTGAACCTTCAAAAATTACTATTAAACCTTATGAAAAGCAGTCTGATTGCCGATAAGATTGGTTGACGTTGACTCAGATTTTTAGTCAACAATACTGGTACTAGAAGTATATCAGGACAATGTACTCCATATGAGATCATATCGGACTGTATTTTTTTCGTGATACTTTCGTACCATTTTAAAGTAGTTGAAAAGTACTATCGAGCCATATAAACACTAATCTGATCGATCTTTAGATTGATAGATAAAAAGAGCTTGTCATCCTCAAGAGCCATATACAATGTACGTACGACAACCGTTTACTATTTCAATCGACCAGGATGGATGAGAGTGTGAATGTGGCTGTGTAGTAAGCGTATGAGTGCTAGTGAAGAACGTCCATGCTCATACCCTCCGAAAGTAGGTTTTATGTGATATTGATAAATACTAATGAAAGTACTAAACTATGTAGTGACATTATCTTGAATTTTATTTTTATTCCACAATTGCAGATGAGAAGTTTTCTAGTTTAATTGATAGATAAGCTTGGATGTACTCTAGCATCTTCAAATATATATTTTCATAGTCATGAATTCAATTCATAAAAAGTATGTTAATATAAATTGCAAATATTTACTTTTCTCAAATAGAAAAAAAAATGCGATACGTATAATTAATGTTCTGACAAAGCGATGAATCTATCATTAATCTATGATGGTTTATTAACTAATTATAATCCTCCAAGATAATGTGCTCTATGCACTTTCAGATTTAACTTTACAAAAACAATTTACTATGCTCAAAAATTATCTCTCAGTTCATTAGAAAGTTAATGGTAGATTTTACTAAATAAAATGAACATCAGAATAGCATAAAATATTTCCATTGGCAATAGGATCTTTAGCAAATACTAAAACAATATTATTCTAAGCTATTAAATTGCCTGCTAAGTTTCCAAAATTTGTCCAAGGTTAAAAAAAAAGTATATGCTTTGATAAAATTGTGTTGTCGTATGATGCTTTTATTCTTAGATAATTATAACTCCCCGATTTCTATCTTACTCTATGGAGTAAGTTTAGTATTCTACATGAACCTTATTTTTTGTTTTATTTTTCTTAACCTCCTGGTACTGGTAAAACTTATTTAGCTAAATCGCTTGCTGCTGAATGTAAAGCAACATTGATTTCTGTAAATGCATGGGAATGTCAGTCAAAATGTCTTAATTACAATGAAAAATGTATTAAATATTTATTTGAATTAGCTTGTGAGAGACAACCATGTATTTTATTTATTGATGATATTGATGGTTTGCCTGGACAACCTTATGATTCCGATTTAGAATTATGTCAACGTATAAAAAAAAGAATTTCTAATTCAAATGAAACGTACTTTTTATTTATGATATAAATGAATGATTTCAAGCTAGTTCTGTAATCATAATTGAGATACTAGAGTGAATAATACGGTTGTCTATGTTGTTGCTGTCACCAGTACTTCTTGGACACTTGATATGATGTCTGTTGAATTTTTAGATTTAAAAATTAAATATATATTTCACTACCTGAATTAAATGAACGAGTAGATATGTTTAAAATGCATTTGAATTAAAGCACTACTAATTACATTACGAATGAATATAAATGAATGCAGTTAGCACAAAAACACTGAATAGTATGTTTTATATTTTATGACATAGGCAATAATTATCTTTTCTGTGTAGTTATTCTAATGCTGATATTATAATTGTTTGTCGTGAAGCATCATTCAGAGCTCTTCATCAACTCATTTCAGCAACACATTTCAAACGAGTGAGTATTCTTCTGTGGTATTTTTTGTATCTAGGATCTTTTATTATTTCTATACAGATTCCAAATTTGAAATGGAATGATCCTCGTAAATTTTGGTTCGCTTGTTCACTTGAAGATCCAAATGCTGAAGTAATGACAATAGATAAAATAGAAGCTAATGAATTGTATATACCTCGAATACTCGTGATTAATAGTTATGAAAATTTTTAACAGAATAAAAGAATTGAGACATAGATTATCTTTAGTCGAATATGTTAGCTGCTCTTGTCACAGCAAAATTTTCAGTAAGTGAAACGAATATTATGAAATGTCCGAATTCTACTGAAGAGTTTGGTGAAGATGATTCATAAAGGTGATAAAATAAAAATTGTATAATGGTGTTATCCCGCATTACAGAATTTCATTTTTTTACATTGTAACATCTTTTGTTCGTCAATGATCTAAGCAAATTCTTTGAAACTTTTATTGACTTTCTTTTAGCTCGAGCTGAACGACTGAGAAAATACTAACCATTACGAAATTTCAAAAAATCATGATTGTCGAAATTATGTATAGTTTTCATAATTGATCTATTGTCTTTTGTAAGTTTTGACTCATGCGTATGTATATGTCAAGAAAAGATTTCTCATTGTATTACTCAATACTTAATTGTTTTCAAATTTTTGTTCGCATCTATTTTTCTTCTTTGTTGACACAATGATTTATTACTCAACAATAACTGCGTGTTATTCTCACATTTGATTTGTTTATTCAAGATGGCAAATACAACACAAGCGATACAATCATATTAAAATGATTTTTTTCCTTTGTGATATCCAGTTTTCTATGTGTATAATAAAGGAATGTTTTTGAAAATAAATTAAGCAAAGTTTTTAATAAATAAACTAGTGCAGTACAAAGCTTTTCCTCGATGTTCATTTATAAATGACTGCTCCCGCCATCTAATGGAATGATTAATAAATAATGTCATGCAATGATAAGAAAAAAAAGTTCTTATAACAAGTACTTTCTAAAATCTCACACACTTATTCCTCGTTTTTGTTTTAATTTATAGTAATTATTTGTGTTTCCTTGTATGAGAACAATTATATATTAATTTTCTATTCGACTATCGTCAAATAGATAAATTCGGCATTTCGATGAGTCATACTTGATTCAACACTCTATGCTTTTGACTGACTTGATTGAAAAATATATGAATAAATAAACAACATTTTTAGTTTTCTTTTCATTGTTTAATCATCATAATTGTCATTTTATATCAGAAAATTTCTTTAATTGATTAATCATTGTTTTTTAGATATGAATTTGTCTTTGTTCTATTGTGTTTATTGCTGATTCGATTTATTTAATATTTTTCATATAGTCTAACCGTCTTGTTCTTTATTATCCTTAACACAATGAGTAGTGGTCAAAGCGATTATATTCAGGTAATGATTTTAAAATTATTAAAAAAAAACGTAGTTTTTGATTTTAGAAAGGAATTAAGAGTGCTGAACAAGCTACAGCTGAAGATAAAGCAAATAATTATGAAGCCGCTGCACAACATTATATGACTGCAGCAGATTGGCTTATGCAAGCAATGAAATGTTAGTAAATAATAATGGTTTTATTCAAAAATCATATTTGAATTTTAGATGGAGCAATGAATGCTCAAATGAAACAAACGATACGACCTAAAATAGAAAGTTATGTAAAACGAGCAGAAGAAATAAAAGGAATTTTGAAAAATGGTCCCGCTAAAAAGAAAGCTGTTGCCGATGGTCCTAATGGACGTGGAACTTCGAAAGATAACAAAGGTGATGATGACGATAGTGGTGATCCAGATAGAAGACGTATGATACAAAAATTTGAAGGTCGGTATTTATCACGTTTATCTTGCTAATATAAATACTATCATTTCTGTTTTACTGTAGGCGCTATTGTCACCGATCCGAAAGTAACATTTGATGATGTCGTTGGATTAGACCAAGCTAAAGAAGCATTGAAAGAAGCTGTTATTTTACCAGTCAAGTTTCCACAACTTTTTCAAGGTATATACTACAATACATCTCAAAAGTCTCGCATCACTTTTTTTTAATTTTGAGTCTTGTATGTAAATAACACAACATGAATTTAATACGATAAAGCCTTGAAATGAAATACAATAAAAAAACAACAACAAACTTCAGTGTTAAGAAAAAAAGACAAAATCATATTGTTGTTGCATCGAATGGAAGGAATTAGAATCAATTTAGTAATAGACAACTATGCATCTAAAACATGATAAGTTACTGATTATTGTGATCCTTGGTATGAGTCGAAAATGTTTGTAAGAAAATTTTCTTATTCAAAATTTTGTAGAGCTATTCACAGGCTGTAAATTTATATATTTAACATCTCTGATCATCCTGTCTTGGATAGGAAAAAATACCATTTCTCAATGATTTACCACAATTTTTCACTAGTGATGAGTCTCCGTGTCGACCATAGAAGATGTGATCAAATGCCAAACTTTCTCCGAAATTACCCACGATGTGATGTTACAAAACACACTATATAAAGGGTCCTTTATAACAACAATATCATTTCATCTTTTTTTCTGTCATTGTTTTCTTAGCACTGAAGTTTGTTTGTTTTTTTTTATTGTATAAAACAGGTGTATATATACATAGCACTCGGGGTCTCCTATACAGTCATAAAGTCAAATTAAATTAATGTTGGGTAGTTTAAATACAGGATTCGAAACAATAATGTGGTATAAGACTTTTGAAGTGCACTGTAGTAAAAATGTATGCTATTTCTATTATTCTTCTCTCGTTTTCAGGTAAACGAAAACCATGGGCTGGTATTTTACTTTATGGAGTATGTTTGGACGTTTTCATTAAATTTCATTTCATCGATATTTTTTTGATTGTAGCCTCCTGGTACTGGTAAATCATATTTAGCTAA